TTTCCTTCCTTCGGTTGGGAAAGAAATCACGAACATTTATTTGATTATAGCCTCTTGTAACGAAAAGAAATCACCAACATCGACAAATATAATATTGTGGATGATGTTATATCGTTCATTAGAAATCACGCTTGAAATTATCAAAAATCACAGTAGAAATCATGATGATGTGATGATATTGTCCACAATTCTATTAAAAATCACGAACATCCACCATGAATACTTTCGTAACCCCATACTCTTAAGACCCTTTAAGATCCGCAATAGTATAATATTATCCATTTATTAAACTCGTCGATAAACCCATAATCAAGGATTTGTAACTGAGTCGAGATATTGTCCACTTTAAGTATTAAGCTCGTCGATAAACCACTTAATCAGTGGACTCGGGATTTATAGCTGGGTCGAGACGTGATTTCTCAATTGCAATTTCGTTCTTTTTACATTTTCCTAGACAGATTTTGGTCCTTAATTTCAGAGTTAGGGTTGTCCTACAACCTTACGGATGGCGAGCCTCGTTCTCGAGCCAGGTCAGCTCGAGTTCAAGTACACGAACAAATTTAGACATAATTTTTCTCTCTAGAATTGATTTGGGCTGGACAAAGAAGCAAACATTACAATGGAAAAACAAAGCAAGCATTCATCTAGAAGTAGCTCAAACCTGAACTAAATCCTAGGAATACTCAAAAAAACAAACAAACACTCAAAAACACATACAATTCCCACACCATAACTCGGCCCATTCGGTTCATTCATGTCCTCCTCCCTTGTTCTTGAGCCGCGGTGGTCGTTGTCGTCCTGCTTTGAATCTCCTGCCCCAGATCCTTGGTCTTCTGCCCCACATACCCAGCCATATCCTGCATGCGCCGCTTCGCTTGGTCAATCTGGTCCGGCATGAACCCCATCGCCCGCCGAACGTAGTTGAAAGCCCACGTAAGCGAAGACAGCGCGGTGAGCCCAAACGCCCCGGAGGTCAAGAACGCCAGGACGGCTAGCCCTATGGTTAAGATGGCTGGGACCAGAACCGGGCTGAAGATCACGAACACTGGAGTGGCTACTGCCAGCCCGACCAGCGTCACCGCTAGAGTCAACCCGGCGAGCCCGAGCAGCGAGCCCCCGAGCGGGACGAGGGTTATGATGGCAAGGATTGTGGAGGTGGATGGGCCTGTGCGGCCCTTGGCGCCGACGTCGTCGTAGCGGCGCTGGGGATGGACTTGGATTTGGTGCGGCTGTGGGCGGTCGGCCATTGCTTGGTTTGGAAGAGGGTTGGGTTGGAGGGTGGTTATAAACGGTGGCGGGATTGGGCAAATGGCGACACGTGTGTGTGAGATGGTGAGTAGGTGCTTTGCATGGGGAACAAGTTTCATTTTAATTTTTTTTTTTTTAAACTTAACTTTAACCGATTATAGCGGACGTCGAGCTGAAACCTTCCCATTTGTAGCGACCCAGATCCACCACTAGCAGATATTGTCCTCTTTGGGCTTTCCCTTTCGGGCTTCCCCTCAAGGCTTTAAAACAACAAACGACCTAGATCCACCGGTAGCATGGTAAACCTTCCAGTTTGTAACGACCCAGATCCACCGCTAGCAGATATTGTTCTCTTTGGGCTTTCCCTTTCGGGCTTCCTCTCAAGGCTTTTAGAGGAAGGTTTTCACACCCTTATAAATGGTGGTTTGTTCTCCTCCCCAACCAATGTGGGACATCACAATCCCTAGCAGACGCGTTTTAAAATCTTAAGGTGAAGTCCAAAAGGAAAAGCCCAAAGAGGACAATATCTGCTAGCGGTGGGCCTGAGTCGTTACACCGTCATTCCTAATTCAGAGATAAAATAGGTTTCATAACGCTCTCTCGTACTTTACCACTCTTATTCCTGCAATTAAAGAGATTTCATTCAGGATATTAAGCACCCAAATGAAAGTAAACAGCTACGAGCAACTATACTCGATGAATTAAAATGGCGCAACTCAAAGTAGCTCATGAACGAGTGGCTGGCGTTCTTTCTTGTAAATATAGTTATCCTTATCCCGAAGTGTCAGAATTTAGTGCAACGTATTGATAGTTTGAATTAGCAAAAATATTCGTAATTAATTAATATTTGGAGAATATATCTTAGATATTTATAATCGGTTAATATTTTTATATTTAATTAATAGTATATTTTATTTTATTTTCAAGATTTAGTTAGTTTATATTTTTCTTATTTGTAGGTATTAGTTGGTAGCTTGTATCCTATATAAACATATTAACGGGTTTCTGACTTTAGGAGGTCGCCATTTCAAGACGGTAGATGGCAACATCTGAATAAGAGAAAAACAGAGTACGTTAGGTGTATTTCTCGGTATACCAATTAGAATGGAGGGCACTCTACGTACATATTGAGGTCGGGTGGGGTCAACGTGGTTCGTGAAATTTAGGTCACAATACCTAACTATTAATGTGCATGCCAATATATGTGAGTCGGTATCCTTATATGATGGAATAAATTTATTAATATTTTTCATAAATTTTAGAAAAACCTTATTAATATATATTTTTTAATTTAAAATTTTAAATCAGTTTATATATGTCGACTAAGAAAAACCTTAATTTTCTCGATAATTTTAGAATAATTGATTAAAAATTTTAATTCACAAATTTATTTTAAAAAAATAATTAAGTAAATAAATAAAACCTTGTTTTTTGGGCCGTTATAATGGACCAGAAGCTGGCCCAAGATCTAGACCTCGGCCCACCTACGGCATCGCCACCAACTTCGTGCTTAAAACACACCGTTTTAAGATTATACATATATATATTAATAGAATTTAAAAAAATAATTAAAATTTTAACATAATTTTTAAAAAAATTATTAGATATTTAGAAATAATTATATGCTTATATTTAATTTTTAAAAATATATATAATAAACTTTCTCTGGCATATGAAAAAAAGGGTTAAATTATAAAAAATAATAATAAATAAATAATATTAAAGTATCTGAATATTAAGGAGTAAATAATATAATTAGAGAAAATTAATTGAATTTTCTTTTTTTCTTTTTTCTTTTTTAAGTTATAATTTAGGATATTTCTTTTAAGCGCGTGGGGGTTGGGAAAGGGCACGTTCTGGTGTCGCAGCCGTAAGACATTAGGTACAGTAGGGGATAGTTATAGGGTCGGTGGTCCTTTTCTAGGACGGTTGGCGTGGCCCACACGTGCCTTTTTTTTTTTTTTTTTAAATTTAAAATTTTAATTAAGAGTTTAGGGTTTTTCGTGTTAAATCTCGTGTTTCTTACACGGTGTGGACTTTCACGTTATAACGAACTTCTTGAAACAAGTTCTTGCTCGTATTATAAATAGTACGAGTGGTAGATTAGCTAGGAGGAAAGCAGAGCTATCAAGATTTGTGAGTCCCATGAAAATTGACGTGGTGAATTTTGACAGAAAGAATAACTTCAGGTTTGGGTTGTGGTAAAGGCAAGTCAAAGATGTACCGAAACAATTAGGCTTTCACGGGTCTTTAAAGGGAAAATTGAGTGGTGGGGTAGTTAAGCGGTGACGATAATCCAGTTGAAGTTCTAAAAAGTTCGACATGAGTGATGAAGAACGAGTCGAATTGGATTTGAAAGCTATAAGTGCAATCATACTAAATTGAGTTGTCTCTCAACATACCAGTACCCTGTGCACCTCTTTTCACGAGAGTTCAAAAACTCGAGCTTTTTGTTGTGTAACACTTATTTGAGGCGAATTTCAAACGTTACATACATTACAGCTACGTACAGTAAAGAAACTCGTAATTAGTCTTATATGAGATCAAAATAGTCTTTTTGCTCGGGCAACTAGAACAAATCATAATTTTAGGGTTTCCTCTTTTTTCACACTTTTTGGGATCAAAAGTCAACAAAATTACAGTTTCTACCAAACAAAACTTCCAAGTTTTTGTCAAATTAATTACCAAAGTAAAAATAAATAAATTAAAAAAAAAAAAAAGCATGAAGCAAATTTAGCAAGTTGGTAATATAAAATATTTAAAATTTGATTCCCCGGGAAAAAGGTAATCAAATTAAATAATAATAATAATATATATATATATATATTGCTCATATAATAGGACAAAAAACCAAAGTTTTATAGATCAATGATTTAATTTATATTTTATTCTATTTTTAAACTTTGTTTAATGAATTTTAAAAGTATAATTCATAATTTTGTGCCCGAGTTAGAAGAAATGGAATTTTTAGGTTCTGGGTCGAAAATATACATTTTATTTAGTTGAACTATGCTTAAATTGATTTGTATAACTTATGTTAAATAATAGTAAATAAAACTTTTAAAAAATTAAAACTTCAATTACAAGATGTATTATCGACCAAAAAGTCAAAAGTTTAATTCTCGACACCAAACTCACCTCTAAGCATAACTCAATTAGTTAAGACGGATATTTTCGACCAACCGTCAGAAGCTCAAATCTCGACACTACACCCATTTCTGAGTATAGTTTAATTAGTTAAGACATATATTTTCGACCAAAAGGTCAAAAGTGTAAACTCGACACCACACCCACCTCTAAGCATAGTTCAATTAGTTAAGATAGATATTCTCGACCAAAAGGTCAGAAGCTCAAATCCCGACATCACACCCACCTCTAAACATAGTTCAATTAGTCAAGACATATTTCTCGACCAAAACGTCATAAGCTCAAATCTCGACACTGCACCTACTTCTAACCATAGTTCAATTAGACAAGACATATTTATCAACCAAAAGGTCAAAAGCTCAAAATCTGCTCAAATCTCGGTACTTCACCCACTTACAAGCATAGTTCAATTAGTCAAGACATATTTCTCGACCAATATGTCACAAATTCAAATCTCGACACCAAACCCACCTCTTGTTCGACAAAAAAAAAACAAGCAAAAGAAGATTCCACCTCACCCGAGTATAACTCAGCGGTAATATATACTAAAAAATAAAACAAATTATAAATATTAAGACACAAAAGATGACAAGATAAACCACTAATAATAGAAATAGGTTACATTAAACCCTACAAGGACATGGGCAAACCTTAAAATATACGACACATATTTATATATATCAAGATAATTGCAAATTACACCTTCCACTTTTGTATATTTTCAAAATCATCTCTAAATTTTTAAAATTATTTGCAAATTATGAATGTTTGAGACCATTTTTGCAAATTACACGAAGTGAAAGGGTGTGATTTGCAATTATCTTTTATATTTATTAAGCAAAATGCATAAAATTTCATATCCATATCAACATAAATGGAAAATTTTACTTGTGTTCTTCTCCTTTGTCATGGTCATCTCCACAAGGGCCACAAAAGTAGAGGCCAGAATAGTAATGGCCATAGCTAGAGGTCGATGAGCTTCCGATGTGACTTGTTGACGACGATCTCCGAGCATACTGCGATGACGACGACGATGATGGGGCAGGGAGTTCACTGCAGGCGTAGCGAATGAGGTTAGCGTTGGTAGCGTCGAGTTCTCTTTGAAGCTTGATGACTTGTCTTTGGAGGATCGAGATGGCGCCGACGCAGCCGTAGACGGGGTCTTTCATCCTTGCCTCGGCCTCGTAAGCGAGCGAGTTCACGGCGTCCTCTCGTTGGTGTGGCTGGACCTCGTTTAGTAGTTTGCTGACATTGCTAGCTCCGAAGATCTTGTGAACGTTGGCGAACTTTTGTGGCTCCTCCGACGGGAAATACGGCGCGAAAACGCAGTTCGGGAGACATTTTCGACGTAGGAACTTGCAGGCTGCACAAGGAGAATTGGAGTAGGTGGAAGAAGACATCTTCCTACAAAGAAAAGGAAATATATATCAAATTAAGTTATGAAAGGAGAAAAATTTGAAGCTTTATGGCCTCTACATATATACTCTTTTACGTGTGCGCATATATAGGTTATTCGGCTCGAGATTTTATCTGGGTTTATTTAAAATAAGGTTCGGAATGCTAAATACGTAACAAAATGCAAACTTTATGTCTCTCGGTATATTAGCTCGAGAGGATCATAAGCATATAAGCAAAAGAAAACATATCTTTACTCGTACGATGTTTTTTTTTTTTTAGGGAAACTGAAAAGCAAAGATCGTAAGGAGGGTTTATGCTCAAAACAGATAATATCCTACGATCGTAAAGATACAGAGAGACCACTATTCCTCACAATTAATTTGTATCAACGTGAGATTAACGCAAACTCGAAATCAAGAATAAATGAACTCTCGTATCAAATATAAGCTCGGTTTCTCGAATCAAATATAAGCTCGGTTTCTCGAGCTACCGAACATATCTATCTACCTCTCGATTAGAATGTTTTGTTGATTGTATATGATGAAACAAATTAGGGATAGGGTTTTCTATGAAATTTGGTAGAAGGTCACTTGCCCTTCCTAATGGCATCAAAGCAAAGGCATAGCCCTCAATGCATGTTTCTTGTCCCTTGGTGAATCAAAATGGCCCTAGTTTCTCTCTCATCACCTTACCTCTTTGTCTCTCCCTATTTTCTCTCTCTTGATTTTCTCTCTCCTACACCAGCATAACCCTTCTCTCTCTACACATATTGAGATCAAATCAAGGGCTAATCAAATACTATTTCAATTCTCTTAATCAAATCAACAAAGAAATTCCAAAAAAATAAGAACACCCATTGAGTGAATTCATGAGATCTAGAGAGAGAAAGAGATTATGATGAGAAAAAACTTGAATTTCTAGAGAGAGAAATAGAACAAAACTTAAAAAAGGGTTATTTACCCATAATTTTTTTCCATTTCCTTCCTTTGTTTCAGCTGTTGTTTCAACATCTCTTGTTTGAAAACCTTAAGCAAAATGAACTTGCAGCCATGGGGAGAGAGAGAGAGAGAGAGAGAGAGAGAGAGAGAGAGAGAGAG